ATTATCAATATCCAATATTTAGACAGGCGACAACTAATAAACACGTTTGTTGAACGTAAACCAAGCACACACTCTGCAAATACATATTATCGAATGGCTATCCGACTGCCAAGAGTCCTGCTCCGTAGTTCTGCAAGCGGCGCGTGGGCGTAATTAACACTTTGTGCCGTGCAGGAGCAAATCGAGCGGGTTAAACTGCACAAATGTTGCTTCAGAGCACAACTCGGAGCATCACCAACGAACGCAATAATTAATATGCCCAACGTGCTGCAGCTCCTGCTGCTGCTTGATAGTCCTGCGCCGGGGCGGGGCGGGACGGGACGGGCCGGGACGGACACTCGCTGTTGGCGGGGGGTGCCATAAAAGGCGTTAAATTGACACAATTGAACACACCCTTGAGATTTGTGTTGTGTCGAGGGTTTGTTTATTGTTGTTGTTCCTGCCGTTCTCATGCCGCGATTGGGGGCGAGTGCGTTTAATCGGAAATGCTAACATCTTCATCATGGCGCATAATGGCGCCAACGTTGAAAAACTGCCAAGTGCCCGAGCCCAAAATCGCCTCCCACTCATCGAATTGCCAAAATTTTGACACCAAATTCCGCATCGAGATCCAAGCCAGCTCTGCTGCACGCTTCCGCTTTGTTTGGCCCATGCAAATACGTATGTGTAACAATTGATATTTTGGGTAAACATGTGAGCCATCCACAACGTGACATGGTTAATGTCGCGGCTTACAATTCACACTCACACACACACACACTCACACATACACACACTTGGTTTGAACTTGGCCTGTCGGCGTGCATAGAACCTAATTGATTTAAGTACTCTTGCGATGATATACTTATATATATTCCTTTTGTTATGAATATGCACATATTTCCAACATGTCGAAGATTATCCGGCCTGGATATATTTCTTAAGAATGTAAGCAAACGATTTGGCAACCGTTTTCCGCCTATTTTCCACAGTTGCGGGTGAAAATGCTCTTTTAGTTAATCAAATTGGAATGAGCTAAAATTTATGAGAAGTTGATGAGAAAAGGAAGAAGAAGCAGCGAATTCATTCATTTTTCTCACTAACTACGGAAGTCATCTAATATCCTTTATTAGATGTCATCTAGTCATCTATATATAGCTTTGTCTCCCAAGTTTTTCTGTGTGTTTCTACCAATCTTTACATGCTGAAGACAGAAGCATCGGAAGACAACCACATCGAAGTGTAATATCATTTATCTACCATACAAGATATGGTAATAATCAGCCGGAAATGATGTTTTGCTATAGCAAGTCGACAAAAGTATTTAATTGTTGGCAATTAACATCTTCTAGCCCAATCAAAGCACCAAACAGATCTAATGATATCCTATTGCTGTTAAGCTGTTGGTCTGTTTTTTATTTGGCTCCTCCGAGCTCTGAGCTACCTAGTCGGACTCGGGGTTATCTGGCTACCATATCTGTTTCAATTTCAGCCTCTAAGCATGGCTGTCAAAACAGGCAAACAAATTGTGCAAATAAGTCGAGAAAATGTTATTTATGCTCAGACAATTTCAGTGATTAAATAACTAAGCCAAACGAGACCCCTAGAGATCGAATTACAAATAGTAAAATGACATGAAAGTGCGACTCGGCAGCCCGGCCGGCCAATCCGGAGCTGGACTTGTCGTGTCAGCCAGCTTCGGTGCATATTAATGGCCCGGAGGTGTGCATGCCAATTGTCATGCGCTGAAATGCTTGTTAACAACAGCGATTGCTTTCTGGATCGGCTCCCACTCGTCGAAATGGTCTTTTCCTTTTTATAAATATACCCTCAGCCCATTGAAAATGCTTAAACAGGGTATTATTGTTTCGTGCAAGTATATGGAATTAGCGGAAGCGGACGATCCTATAAAGTATATATGTTCTTGATCAGGATAATAAGCTATGTGGATTGAGCTATGCTCATCTGTAACTCAATATCAAGAGACTTGCAGTGTATATTCCCCTGTAACAAAATATCGATAAGTATCGATCTTAAGACTTTGGTCCTTAAGCGTAACTTTAAGGATTATAAAATCTAGAAATGTGGTATGTGGTAGATCCAGATTATGAAGATTACAAAATCTAGACACTTTAAAGTTGGAATGTAGGGTCTTATATGATATACACAAATTGGAAATAATTCACTTTTTGGATATCTCAGCAAGTTCCTCCCAAAAATATTTAAAAAAAAGAAAAGAAATCTAAAAGCTAGAGCTTTGTGCTTTGGTGTATGCACCCGCTTTTATGCCATATTTAAACGCTGGACATTTTATTTTTATCGGACTGCAAAGACCGAAGTTCAATAAGACTATCTTTTCCTGTTCTCATATCTATATAAAAGGAAGCTAAAATGAAAGGCAGAGTATTTTCTAGTCGAGTACTTCCAACTTTATGGCTCTTACTTGTTTTAATCAAAGCCAGAGTCCAAGCTGCGGCAGCGACTCCTGCTTTTGAGTGCTCCGGCTCCGTCCACGTCTCCGTCTCCGGTTGTTGCAGCTCCTCCCCGTGGCAATAACGCCACACATTTGTAATGTTGCTTCTGTTTGAGCCGGCAGTTCAAGTCGAAGTTGGCTCGAACTGCGCTTAGAAGCATTTTACAAGTTACTTTAAGGCAATCAATTTGTGGCCCAAGCAGCTGCACCAAAGCTGCAGTAGGCGGCAGGTGTGAGGTGTGGTGGAGGGGTTGAAGGGGGAGGGCAGGTCGAAAAAACCAATCAAAAGAGCGTTGCGAACGCAAATTGAACGCCAAATGGCTGGAAGATGATATTTCAATACTTGAAGCGGTCCAGGCTGAGGCCATAAATTATGACCGGGGCGACGCCTGCGCGTAGTTGCTTACTTTTTTGCAGTTATGATTATCGCGCCAGGTTCAGGCTGAGCACCTGAGAGACAGAGAGAGAGAGGGAGAGAGAGAGAGAGATAGGGAGAGAGAGGGAGAGCGGGAGCGGGAGACGAGCTGTTGTGTTGTGTGCAAACAAATGTAAAAAATTTTTAATTGACTTTTGGATTTGCGCCACCGCCAGTTGCACTTTTTATGGCCCCTCGCGTGCATGCAGCTTAAAAGTTAATAAAACACGCCCAATGATAACAAGCCGCAAACCACAACAGAACAGCGCATATATTGCCCCTGAGGTCTTCATCATGCCCCAGCCCAGCCTCAGCCTAATCATCATCCCCATCCTCATCATCATCAAGAACTTGCTGCTGCTGCTGGAAACATTGTGAGTCCGCGCCAGCTCGTAGAAAAACAATCAATTAAGCGTGCAAGTAGCTGACACAGGAGGAGCGCCAGTTGCCAATGGCAATGCCAATGCCAACTGGCACGACTTCAGCTCCAGCTCCAGCTTCAAGTCCGACTTCCAGTCCGACTTTGACTCTGACTCTGATTCGCATTCGCATTGCCCCCGTGGCCAGCGTGGCCGGCTTCGACTGGCGTTTTATGGCCTGTTTTGGCAAAATTTATGTTACATTTTTATAGTTCAGTGTAAATTGACTTTTAAAATGTAAAATTTATCATAGCAAACGGCGGCCCGTTGCCGGGCTTAGGCAACACTTTAATTGCTTTATTTTCGTATATGCCGCCCAGATCTGGCAACGCTGCGCCCCGAAAGCAGAATCAGAAGCTTCCGCCAAAAGCTCGCACGTCGCGATAAACATCTACGCGTTTTCAAGCACAGCCAAAACAAAAACAACCCTCAAATATTGAAAAGCTCTTAAGTCGAAACATGAATACCCTTTAGTAAGCTTTAGATATCAATAATTTAGTTTTTGATTAAATATAATTCAAATATGCTTGCATAAACAATTATATCCCAAAAGTAAAAACAATAATGCATACGTTTAGTTCGTTTATTTTAAACTAGTATTTTTACGAAGGGATATAAGTGTGTGTGTGTGTGTGTGTATGTGTGTGTGGGCGTGTGTGTGTTAGTGTATGCATGCATGTCTGTATGCATTTATGTATATATGTTTGCAGCTTATTTTTTGCTGTGCTGCAAATTTAAATAAAATTATTTTATACCAAGTGCCCTTCTCCTCGATTCTCAAGAATTCAAGTAGGCTTTGTTGGAATTCAACAAGGCAACGGCCGGTAGAGGAGCAGCTTGAGGCGGTGGAGCAGGCGAAGGTGGAGCGGGTAAGTATGTAAGTAGAAATGTTTGTAGGTATGTATGCAGGTGTATGTATGTATGTATGCAGGTGTATGTATGTATGTATGCAGGTGTATATATGTATGTATGCATGTATGTAAATATGTATGTGTGCATGCATGCATGCATGCATGCATGTATGAATGTATGCATGTATGTTTGTATGTATGTTTGTATGTATGTATGTATGTATGTATGTATGTATGTATGCATGTATGTTTCCCCGACATGTACGCATGCATGCATGTTTGCATATATGCAACTCAAACATGCATAGATAAAAGTACAAAAAGGGATAGAAATGCAAACTGAAACTAAATTTAACAACCAAATCATTTACTACATCCAATAGACATCATCAACGAAAGGGTATAGATAGTTTTCCTAGAAAACAAGTAAAAGCTTTTTAAGTATCAAAACAAACCTTGGAACAGTTTCCAATACTAGCGTTGGCTTCGCCGTGCAGCGGTCGCACGAAAGCTTTTACGTGGGAGCCGCAAATGAAGACCCACCCTCGAAGCTTCATTGCCAATTGGATGACGAAACAGTCCGCTACCGCCAACAGCTAAAGTTGAGAGCCAAGGGAAAAATCCATAAATTGATTGAAGAACCAGAAGAAGTTTGGAAAAAACTCCGGAAAATGCTGCTGCCCACGGTCAAAACAGGTGGCATCTGGAGCTGTCGCCAGATCTGGGATATGTTAATGTCACCAATATCACCGCGCAACTTGCGCACCACAGCTCTGCTGACGAGCATCTACCAGATGGTAAGTCCCTACCACCACCACATCCCACTCTTATGCAAGCAGCTGCAGTCTGAGAGATCAATTAATGGGGGCGCAGCGCACGGACCACCGGCACGCAGACGAATCCGCAATCCGGCTGCCACCAACGTGCAGCCACCTGCCCCTAAATACAAAAATTACGCACTGGATATGCAAAGCCATACCCCACTGAGCACGCCAGAACCCATCAAAGGCGGCAATGTAGCGCACGCCCCCACCCACAAGGAGCGTATGGATGAGCCAACGGCGCAATGCGTCTGCAATCAAGTTCCTAACAGTGGAACGTGCTAAGACGAGCGCCCTTTTTAGTCGAGAACTGACACGAGACGCATGTTCATCTGCACAGTACTAAAACCGGTTGTGAATTATTGGCGCAATTGCTGAAATATTAGTCCGGAGAACTTTGACAGCCCTGCAAGATCAGCAGAGTTGTATTTGAGCATATTTAAATAGGAATTCAAGTATTTCTATACTCTATTATTTTCCTATTTTCCGCAGCTCATTGCCCATGCAATACTTTTCATGGTGATGCTCTGTCTATCGCATGCGGAGCAAATGCGTCATCTGCTCGATTTGGATATTTTGGATCAGAAGGACAGCGGATTCTACAACATGTCACCATTTCACAATGATATGCGCCTCAAAACCGCAGCACAACTGGCGGATGCTACCGAAAATGCACTCTATGTATTGTCGGGAATTACCATCGCTTATACCCTGAGCACCATATCCTTGTTCTTTGGCGTGTTCAAGAATAAACCTGGTCTGATTATACCCTGGCTGGTGTTCGAGTTTCTGGGTCTGATTGCCTTTGCCGTTTTTGTATTTATGCTAAAGGATACCAAATTGCCCATGATATTTTGCGGACAGGGCTCCTATTGTGAGTATATCATGCACATTTTTGGAGGTTATGTTCAGAGTTAAGAGCTGTCTCTTTTCTTTTTTTTTTAGTTGTCATCTGTTATACGCTAATCTGCATGGATGGTATCAAGTGGTATGTGATGCACAGCTTCTACCAAAGTCTACGCACAATGAACAAATTGCGAGAGATTGCAACGGTGGCCATTCCCTGCCCTGCCCCGGGCGCTGTAAGTATTAACCCCTAACCCAGATTATATATGAAAGTGATTCTTAACAATTCTCTTCACAGATACCCTATCAGTTCCGCAGGGAGCACATGTATTTGGGCAGCAACGGCTACAAACATATTCTGACTGAATCCCCGGATGGACAGGGTTAAATATGGCAGTCACTATAAAACGCTTCGACGAATTCATCATACCCTCCCAATCCCCAACGTCATCGAACTTCCAGCATCAAGTGTCTTACATTTTTTTCAATTTCTTTTAGTTTTCAATGATTTTATTAGCGTTTTTGGAACGTGTGTGATATGGATAAAGAGGAACAGAGAGATAACTATTTTAGATAGATGCAGCGCAAAAAGGGTTATGCACACAGATACACTATATTCTTATGGCAATATATACACAACACATATACATAACCCGACCCGAACCCTAGCAATTTATTATGGTATGCTAGATACTCATTAACTATTTTCAATGTAGTGCGCTTACACCTAAATCTTTGATCTAAACGTTTAGTAGCTGTAGACAATTTAACTTAATTTAAATAAACATAAAAATAAATATGTGTCAACTGGGACTCGAACCTAGTGTCTAATGTGCCACAGCAGCATTCGTTATGTGCTGCGCTACAGTTCGAGCGTGCCGCGTCGTGCTAAATGCTTATATGTATGACATACTAGTGTACTGTAATAGCTTCCGCAGCTTATATTGTCGTCTCTTTTGCTCACACTGCTGTGTTAACAAGGGCATTGCCCATTGGCCAATTGAATTTGACCGTTTAGTTTGAACATCAAATTCGTTTAATAAATGTTGTGTAAAGGTTAAAAACCATTTTGGTTAAAGCAATTTTATTTCAAAAATTTTCAAATGGCCTTTTTTTGTGGCATTATTAACAAATATTAGAAAAAATCTTTCATTTGGCCCGTTGCCCGTTAAATTATTTACTTCTAATAACTATGCTAATATATTATTCTCTAGTTGCGGTGCAGGTTTTGTTTGGTTTCCTTTTCTTGTTTTTTTTTTTTTTTTTTTTTATTGTTGCGGCCTTACAACATTTACCTTGACCCACTTAACCCTTGCGGCCACGCCCAGATCGGCCGACTGGTGTTGTTGTAGTTGTGGGTGCCAAGGTGGAGCTGGGCGTGCCCAGCAAGGTCATGTCATTGCCCAAACTGTCCATCAACATGTCGGCCACGGTCACATTTGAGTTGCCAACGCCGTCGCCCTTGTCCGTCGGAATGCTGATCTGGAACTGCAGCAGCACCACCAAATAGGTGACCATTGTGGTGATCAGGCCCTTGAACAGAGAGCGATTGACATCAAAGAAGCCGCCGCAATTGATGTTCGAGGGATTCATTTCGGTGGCGCGCAAAAACATGTTGATCTCCGTCTGTGCATCCGAGTTCATCCAATTGAGTTCGACCATCAAAAGTTTCTTTTGGAAATTCGTGCGCACATTAACCGAGGCATAATGGGCCTCATCGCAAATATAGAAGAGCAGTCCGATATTCCAGAGCGCCGTTATGGTCAGTCCGATATCCTTAATGCCGAATCCCTCCGACAGCTGTGACATGAGTCCATAAATCGACAGAGTGATGATAAAGAACAAATAGAGACTCATGAAAACAAAGGTGTAGCACAGTGCATTGCCCATGTCCCGGGTCAGCTTGCTCAGGCGCAGCCACAGGACACGATAGTCCGCCACCATGGCGGCGGGCCCGATGTGCTTCAGTGCCTTCTGAAAGCGTTCCGCCAGCAGATAGGCAGTGGTGCTGATCGCCTCGCAGATGAGAAACCACCAGCCGCCCAGCATGGCCGTCAGATTGTCCAGTATGCAGTAGGGCACCACCTGATTGAGATTGAAATCCGACATGGTTATGTGAATGATGACCACGGACAGCACCGAGAGTATGGGCAGCAGGATGGCAATGTAGATCGCCTTCTGCCGTAGATTGAGCGGCAAACTGTGACCCGAGATCTGATAGTAGAGTACCTCAAAGTCATCCCAGTCGTTGAACAAGAGCGCTATCTTCTTGGCCTCCAACCACAGTATGGGTATTATTATAATTGGCAGAATATTGACCAGAAACAGATATGCGATGACCGCCTCCTCGAAGGGTCCGCTCAGCGAGCGCACTATGTGAATTCGATTGTTGGCCACGTAACCCACATAGAACTGCATCAGTCGGATGATTAAACAGGAATTCTCTTTATGTCTAATGGAACGGAATAACTCACCGCTAGAAAAACGAAGAAAACAACCGAATAGACGAAAGGCGCCGAATTTAGAGCAAATTTGGCGCGGGCGGGACCTCGGCGCACAATGGGCAGAACCCCGATGATCCGTAGGAACCAATTAACCGGCGCAATACTGCGATAAAAAACGCTCTGGCAGAACAAACTTCATTTAATAACAATTGAAATCATTTGAATTATTGCTTACCGGGGTAAAGTCTGGATTATTGGAGCCCACCGTGCTTGTAGAACCGCGTTTCTTATCATTTGCCGGCGGTATATAGTCGTTGTCCAAACGTTCAGCCAATCCAATAGAATACTTCCGGACTCCTTGAAGATAGGCTTGCGCATTGCCGCTGTTTATGGGCTTGGCATTCAGGAATACCGTGTCTGCCTTTTTGCGTCTATAATAGCTGGCCATTGTTCTTGAACTGTGAGCATTTTTTACACCTGACTAGCTGCCTTGGCACAGACATGGCCATTAAAAATGCATTTGACCTCGCCCTCTATTTGTTTCTTCGTGTTTGCATTGCAAGAACAACTTGAGTTTCCTGTTGATTTCGTTTGTTTGTCTTCTGCATGCATTAACCTTAACCATGTGTCCCAATTTCAAATTTTCATGAAAGGCGCGCAACTGCTTGAACTTTCGCAATATTGCTGTTTGCCAACACTGTCAGTTCTATCGAAATCGACTGAGCTATCGATGAATTGACTTTCTAGAGCCAGTTAATTAAGTACGCTTAAATCATGGAACGGACGTCATAGTTCAAGTGTGGTCTTCACATTTAAGCCAGTTCCATATTCAACTTTAAGAGAAGCACATCATAATTATTTCCCCGAAGAGAAGTTTTTGTTTTTTAAGTCACTGAGACAGTGTCAGGTATAAAAACCATCGATATTAAGCAACTCAACCAAATATAAATTCGCTCATCGATAGATTGATTTTAGTGCATCACTAGCTACATTTCTAGAACTTGCAGAGAAAAGCCGAAAAAAAAACAATAAAATACAAAAATTCAATAAGCAATATGGTCGATTATAGCAAATGGAAAAATATTGAGGTGCGTAGTCTTAAAACAAACGTGAGCAATTAAACTAACCACAGTTTGAATTTCTCGCAGATTTCGGACGATGAGGACGAAACACACCCAAACATCGACACGCCTTCGCTGTTTCGCTGGCGGCACCAGGCGCGCGTGGAGCGCATGGCCGAGTCCGAGAAGGAAAAGGAGGAGCTGAAGAAGAAACGACAGAGCTATCAGGCGCGACTGATAAATGTCAAGGAACTTATCAGTAAAAAAGAAGGTGACGAAGTGGCACTGAAGGTAACTATAAGCTGAACAACCTGTTATCAATATTTTATTAAGTCTCGCATCCGCTAACCATATATATACATATCACAGAAAGAACTGGAAAAAATTGAAAACGAGGGAAAGGAACTTGATCGGCAAGAAAACGAGTTGCTGAAGCGAGAGAAGAAGGCGCCGTGGAATGTCGACACAATAAGCAAACCTGGCTTCGAGAAAACAGTTATTAACAAAAAGCCACCACGCAAAGCGGCCGAGGACCTGACCGAAGAGGAGCGCGAGCAGCGCATGAAACAGTTCGTCAAGGATAACGAAAAGCTGTGCAAGCAGTATGGCATGTTGCGCAAGTACGATGACTCCAAGCGTTTCCTGCAGGAGCACTTGGATCTGGTGTGCGAGGAGACGGCAAACTATTTGGTTATCTGGTCAATCAATTTGGAAATGGAGGAGAAACACGATCTGATGGCACATGTGGCGCATCAGTGCATTTGCATGCAGTACATTCTGGAGCTGGCCAAGCAATTGGATGTGGATCCGCGCGCCTGTGTTAGCTCGTTCTTCTCCAAAATTCAACAATGTGTGCCTGAATACCGTCAGCAATTCGAGAGCGAAATTGAGGGCTTCAAGGAACGCATCCAGAAGAGAGCACAGGAAAAGTTACAGGAGGCCATGGCACAGCTGGAAGAGGAGGAGAAACAGGAGCGTATGGGACCCGGCGGTCTGGATCCCGCTGACGTTTTTGAATCCCTGCCAGAGGTGAGTTTAATTACGTCTCAAATAAAATTGCATACTATATGATCGCTTTTTTGCATCGAACAGGAACTTAAAGCTTGCTTTGAATCGCGTGACATTGAGCTATTGCAGAAGACTATAGCGACCATGCCGGTGGATCAGGCCAAGTATCACATGAAACGTTGCGTCGACTCTGGCCTGTGGGTGCCAAATGCCGCCGATGTGCAACTGGGCAATGATGAGTCGGAGGCCAAAGATGACGAGACGGCGACGGCGACAAATGAAACGCCAACGGAGAAAGAGAATTCCAAATCGAATAACGATAAAAGTGCCGACGCTGCCAAGGAGGAGCCCTTATATGCTGGCGTTAGCACCGACGACGTTGACTGATCCTTCAGCGCTGTTATTGCATGTTACACTATAAGTTTAATCTTAATAACCTGCCCATTTGTTCAACAAACTCAGTTGGTGTGTAGTTTGAGAGAAACCCAACTAAATTTTCAGTACTGGGCTTGAGCTTTCAATCAAATTCAAGCTGTCTCCGTGAATATATACTCCCGATAATTAAAAATACGTTTATTTAGTTTCTATATATATATATATATTTAACTATCGCCATGAACCGTCCAGAGCTGGACTACTATGCTGTGCTGGACATGCCGCGCAATGCCAGCAAAGAGCAAATCACGTTGGCATACCGCCGCATGGCAGTTCGTTTGTGTCCGCATCGGGACAAGAAATACGAGATGGACTTTGTGCCGCTGGCGCAGGAGGGCAAACTGACGCACCTGTCGCCCATGAGCGAGACCAAACAATGGGCCTATATCAATATGGCATTCGATGTGCTGGGCCACGATCTATATCGTGCCATCTATGATCGCTTTGGTGAAGCGGGCCTATTCGAGGGCGTGATGCTGCCCAATGGCTATTTTCCGCCCTATCAATATCATGGCGATCACATGAAGGTGTACGAGCAGGTCTTTGCCAGCTACTCGCCGTTTGCCAATGTCATAGACGCCATTACCAATCCGCCCAGCTTGTATGCCACCAGGGAGCACGGCATTGGCGTGCGCCACAAGGATGCCAATACGGAGCGCATTATACATTTGTCCTTGGAGGAGGTGCGCACCGGCTGTGTGAAGCTAATGCATGTTTGGCGCCAAGAGATTGTCGATAAGAAGGAATCGCGCCTGGAGAAGCGCAAGCACACACTCAAGCTAATCATACAGCCGGGAACCACGGCCGGCACGCGCTTCTGCTTCAAGGAGGAGGGCGATCGCTATCCCACGACCATTCCCGGCGATATTATATTCATTGTCGCCGACAAGCCGCATCCGACATTCGAGCGGCGCAATATGCATGACCTGGTCTATCGCTATGACATCAATCTGGCCCAGGCTTATACGGGCTTCACGTTCTTCGTTGACACCCTGGACAAGCGTCAGCTGAAGATTGTCATTTCGGATGTGGTTACTCCGGGCTACCAGAAGATCATGCCACTCGAGGGTTTGCCCAAGTGCCGTAATTTGGATGCGGTGAAGGCAATTAAGCAAGCCAATAAGCGAATTGAAGAGTTTGGTGACCTAATAATTGAGTTTAATTGTAAACATTGCTTAACAAAACAAACAATAGCTGGAACAATAATTACGATTTATTTGCAGACATATTCCCAAAATATCTGACACCAGAGATGAAGGCATTGACCCGTGATTTCTACAAGGAGTTCCGTAGGATGGAACAGCAGCTGGAAGATGAGGAGAAGCTGCATATGGAGGATAAGTGAATATGATATGAAGTGATGCATATGAAGTGAATAATTGTATTTTATTTGATTTGAATTGTGCAAATACAAATTAACTGTGATTTGAAAATCGAACTCATTTGGCACCCAGCAGCATACTTGGCCTAAGGTATCGATAGTTTGGTAAGGTATCGATAAATCGATAGAGTGTTCAATTTTTACGAACAGGTAAAACATAGCATAATTAAAAAACAGCAAGAAAAACAACAAAGAATAATAATTTGTGCTAAAGCGAAAAACACATAAAAAAAATAACTAATTATATCAGAGTGTTGAATTTCGACGTAAGCTCGTAGAGAAAAAAAACGCTAGAAGTGCAGCTGAAAGCCAAACTGATTTTTGGCCTACATAATTTAATTACTGACACCTGTGCAGTACGCCCCCCTCCAAGCCAGCCCAGGGCCAAAGCAACGGAAATACCAGCGATACGCTTCAGTGCAAGTGGAGGCCAGCTAGCTGACCACACCCACATCAAAAGCAGAGGTAAAAATGCACCTGAGCGCCGATATTTCCAGTGCCTTGCAGCAAATCGAAGCTGTGAAAAAAGGCATCGACGAGTCCGAGGATGCGAAGCTGCAATTGCAAACGGCGGACAGTTTAAATACTATACTGGGCATACTGACAGATCCGGTTTTCCGTACCATTGCCCATGTGCAGGAGTCGCTGTACGAGCTGGGCATACAGCTGGGCCAACATCCGTCCATGTTGCCCAACGACTTTGACATCGATGTCTCCGGGAATCTGGTGCTCAGCCTGAATGGCGGGGATGTTATGTACGATTCGTCGGCGCCAGCTAGTCCGGACAAGTCCAGCTCAACGGGCGAGGGTGAGGCGCGTCCACAAAGCCAAAACTCGAAGTCGGCCGCCGCCGATTTATATGCCACGGACTATGCCCAAATCCAGGCCATTGAACTGGTCAACGATGGCACTGGCTTGGGCTTTGGCATAATTGGGGCGCGCAACTCGGGCGTCATTGTGAAGACCATCTTGCCAGGCGGCGTGGCAGATCGTGATGGGCGCCTGCGCTCCGGGGATCATATTCTGCAAATTGGCGATGTCAATCTGCACGAGATGGTTTCCGAGCAGGTGGCCGCGGTGCTGCGGCAGTCGGGCACACATGTGCGCCTCGTGGTGGTGCGTCCCATTGAACAGAGTCTGCCCACGCCACAATATGCCTTGGAGCCGGGCAGCGCTGTGGTGCCCACGCGCGTGCTCGTCGATCCTGCTGAGCTAGAGCGCTATCTCATCTCGACCGGCTATCCAGAGATCTTTGGCGAGAGCTCGACGGCATCTACGCCGCAAACGACCACGGAGGATGAACGCTTTGTATATCGCGGCGAGACCTCGATGCTGATTGATCCCAGCATTGATCTGGACGAGCTGCTGGCCCTGCCCGAAACGGAGAAGCTGCAGGTGGAGCTGAAGAAAGATGCCAACGGCTTGGGCATCACCATTGCCGGCTATGTGTGCGAAAAGGAGGAGCTCTCGGGCATCTTTGTGAAGAGCGTCTCGCCGGGATCAGCGGCGGATCTGAGCGGACGCATACGCGTCAACGATCGCATCATCGAGGTAGATGGCCAATCGCTGCAGGGCTATTCCAATCATCAGGCTGTCGAGCTGCTGAAGAAGTCCGGCCAGGTGGTCAATCTGCGCCTCGAGCGCTATTTGCGCGGTCCCAAATATGAGCAGCTGCAGCAGGCCATTGCCGCCAATGCCAACGAGAAGCTGCCCGCCAGTGCACCTGGCACACCCTCGCGCGCGCCCTTGCCAACGCCCTCGTCCACTGCCACAGCTGCCGCCAGCATCTCGTCTGCAACAGCGACCTCCAGGGAGCTGGAGGATGAGACACTGCCCGCGCCAGACGCCTTCATGATGACCACGCCGCCCTCCAGCTCGCTGGCCACCACCACAACGCTGAGCAGCTTTGGCGCCGGCAAGCAATTGGTGGCAGTGCGGGATTCACTCGAAGGCGCGCCCAAGATTATACCCACGGATGTGGTCCAGCTGGCCGATAAGCAGGAGGTAAGCATCGTATAACTTTGCTATATTCGTGATGCTCACATTTCCCTTTTGCAGGCTGTGCATGCCAAGAACTCTAGTCTTATCACGCGCCACAAGTACCACATGGAACCGGAGCTCAGCGAGGAGATCGAGGCGGAGATTGTGCGCAAGTGGCAAAAGATTGTGGGCTCCGACATGGAGGTGATTGTGGCACAGATCAAAAAGTTTGCCGTCGGCGGCCTAGGCATCTCGCTGGAGGGCACCGTCGATGTGGAGGGTGGACGCGAAGTGCGTCCACATCATTATATACGCTCCATACTGCCCGACGGCCCGGTGGGTGTCAATGGCGTGTTGCGCTCGGGCGATGAGCTGCTGGAGGTTAACGGCGAGCGCTTGCTGGGCATGAATCATCTGGAAGTTGTGGCCATATTGAAGGAGTTGCCATTGGACGTGCGCATGGTGTGTGGACGCAGCAAGGGCACCACGCTGTTGCCCTTCTCAGATGACACCTTGAAGAAACTGAGCAACAATTTTGAAAACCTGCTGCCGGCCACGGATCGTCTGGTGAAGGCCAAGTCCGACGGCAGCCTGGCCACAGCTGGCTCAGTGGCCGATGCGGACAACGTGGCCGTGGCGGCCTCGTCGTTCAACAAGCTGAAATCTCGCTCACTGGAGCCGCTCACCGGCCTGGCCATGTGGTCGTCGCAGCCGCAAATAATTGAGCTGCTGAAAGGGGATCGCGGCTTGGGCTTTTCCATACTGGACTACCAGGATCCCTTGGACTCGAACGATACGCTGATTGTCATACGCTCGCTTGTGCCCGGCGGCGTGGCTCAGCTGGATGGCAGGCTTATACCAGGCGATCGGCTGCTGTTTGTGAACTCCATTAATTTGGAGAACGCTTCGCTAGATCAGGCCGTGCAGGCCTTAAAGGGCGCACCCAAGGGCGTGGTACGCATCGGCGTGGCCAAGCCGCTGCCAATGACCGATAACTCGCTGAAGGCGTGCAGCAATGCCAGCACCACCAGCGAGGAGACACTCGATGCCCAGCAATCACCGCCAGCGCTGCCCACAGCGGCGCCTCCAACAGCAGCCAAGGGTGCAGAGCCGGATCTGATACCCGACTGGCGCAAGTAGACGCTGCATCAGTATGCTGTTATTATATTTATATAGGAATTGGGCGCAAGTGCACCAAAAACCAAGTATGTTATGCACCAATTGTGTTGACCAGAGCCGCCGCAATGGGCGCGGCTCGGCTTGTCCCTAATCCGGGACAGCTGCATTCCCGATATTCGCAATATATTCCATTCCCCCGAGTATTAGTTTAAGTGTGTGTGAATTTAATGTACTTAAAGCTAAATAAATTATGCAAATCGTTTACAATAGTTTAATATATATATATAAAAATGTATGTACACAGTGATGCGTTGAGTATCCTTGGCATGGCTGCTGCTCAGCGGCTACTGCACCCGATTCAGCTGGCGCTCGATGCGCATATAGTTGCGCCTGGAGAGTATGCGGTCACGGGCATAGCTCACCAAATAGCTGAGCACGCCCAGCACAAATGCCATCGCCTCGAATTTGATGAAATTACGCTGTTCGATGAGCGCCACTCGGTCGCAGCTCTTGGTCACAATCTCGCCGCTCTTGCAGCGCAGCACCTCCTTGTAGTGCGTGTGGATGCAGACGCCCAGACTGCGGCTGACTATGTCGAACTCGGAGCAGGGATGACACTCCTGGACCACAGTGTAGCTCTCGTGTCTCCAGCAGGTCGAGTTGTTCTCTATGACGAACTGTTGGCCGCGACGACGCGCCAGGCTGCCCTCCGCAGCATAGCGGGATTCGATAATAAGCACTAGGATCGTCACCAGGGTGAGGGCGGTCAGGCCCAGGATCATGTGATGCCTCTGGCAGTTTTCGAGCATTTTACTTTTGCTTATAATTGCTAAACAAAAAAAAACTAAGATGAAAGCCGAGTTTGTTTTTGCTTTCACAGCTGTTGAGTCCAGGGCTGCGAGCAAGTACTCAATTATAAAGTTTACACGATACTTATATGACGAAGGAAGTTCGTAAGCTGAAAGTTGCATTAGATGTGTGATGATAGGGCCTCAGTAAATCATAAACGATTAGGCTTAAGAAAAAAGCAGACGACTACAAGCTATTCATAAAATTTTATTTATAATTATGAATATTAATGAATATTACAAGCATTGTGAGTTGTCAAAGGTATCGTTACGTTCGTTGATGCATTGCAGCAGGCATCGATGCCCGACTATCGATATTCATCGATAGTACAGGCTGTTTACGAAAAAGTAAAACATGCAAATGGCAAGGAAGGGACAGAGACCAAAACAATTACGAAGATAGCCTTAAAGAGAAACGTGGAAAATTTATGAAAAACTGTGAAAATTGTGTGGTGGCGCATAGAAAATGGTGCTGCGGTCGGGAATTATAATTCCATTTCAATTTCGCGATACTAAGAAGCTGCTCATGATTGGTGTGCCCGAGGAAAATCGAAATCTGAACATATGGGACTTGAAGAATGTTGGTAAGCCCTGTTAACGGACAGAGTGCTGGTGCGGGTGCTGCTTGTCAGTGCCAGGGGGCAGGGGGCAGGGGCAACAGCGCGCACGCTGCCGCTGCTGGCCGCCCCCAGGCCCAGGGCAGGTCGTTAAACTTAATTGCCTTCGAAAATGTGTGTACCGAGAGCAACACCCAACTGTGTAATGGCTGCAAAGCAGCATAGTAAATACATAAATTTGTGAATTGCACATTGGAATTGAGCGATTTTCTCGATTTTGTTTCTCTTTCTGTTTCATTTCGTTTGCAGTGCGCGCCGCATTTGGCATCTACAATTTCGAGTTTCGCAACAAAAAGATCGGCTTCAACATACCCGATGAGCTGCTGCTGCATTATTTGGCCCAACGTCACGACCTCACAAATTTCGTTATAGAAATCAGCCAAGGTAATTGCATTAGCCATATAAGTTAGCCGCGTTACAGTTTAGCGTTTAAGCCCTTAACAACCTGGAGCCATTATATATATACATTTGTATATATCAAAAGAACTACAATATATATGAATGCCATGTGCGTTTATTGATCTGTGTGTGTATATAGATGCGGCAGCCGCAAAACGTGCTTTGCTTGTAAGTCTCTCACAATTGCATTGTAATAAAAATTCCCATTGAAAATGCTTCCTTTTGCAGCCCTAGACGATGGTCATGCCAAGGAGCTGCTCTCCTACGAGCCTTCCTGCTCCATGGCTGCGTTGAAGCAGCAGCAGCAGCAACAGCAGCAGCAGCAGCAGCAACACCATCATCCGCATCCGCTACAGCACCATGTACCACTGCCGCAGCGCTCTAATGAGAGCGGCAGTCACGGCCACGACTATGTGGCTGGTGGAGCGTCGGCCTTGCCTGGATCACAGCCAAATTCGCCAGCGCTGCGCGTTTGCAATGAGCCTGTGGACTCGCCGTTGGAGCATGCCAATAACTCGAATTCGGAGCATGCAGATGCTGGACAAAAAATGCGGCTCACACAGACCTATGCGGAACGCACGCCTGAATCGCTAACACAATCCATAGATCCCATGGACATAATACCCAAAGCAGAGTCCGAGTCCGAGGCGGAGCGTGTAGCGCGTGCAGCCCGCTATCAGGCACGGGTCCAGCAGCAGCAACAGGAGCAACAGCAACACCAACAACAACAGCAACAACAACAACAGGCACAAGCCTTGCAGCACGCGCTGCCTGCCCAGCAATTCTTTTCAAACTACACGCACAGTCTGCCGACTATGACGCCACCAAACACTTCGCAACAGTCGCCCTACACGCCCGGCCTGATGAGTCGCTTTAGAAGTGAGTAGTACCCGCGAAGACGGTAGAGCATTTCGTAAGTTTTATTAATTGATCTTGCTTGCAGAACGCGGTGAGCGCATGTCCAAGGATCAAAAGGAGCTGTACGTCAAGTTCTTTGAGGACAATCCCTGCATGCTGTCGAACCATCGCCGGCACGATGGCCTCACCGAGCCACTGTGGGCCAAGCTGGCGCACATGCTCAATAGTGTGCCGCAGGGCGCTGTAAAGAACGTGGAGGATTGGAAGCAAACATTTGATGCCTGGCGCTATCGCATTTTCATGTACACACGCTACAACTCCAAACTGAGCATGTCGGAGACGAGCGATCCCAAGAACTTTAAGCCATTGACCGCAACTGATCAGAAGGCGTACGCCATGTGGACCAGTCACAAGCACATTGCACCGCCGGACTACGACAAAATGGATATGTTTGTGCCGCTGGACGAGAGCACCACGGCAACGAACAGTTACGACTACTAAGGCCGAGTCCAAACCCCAACCCCAGTGCAAATGTTAATTGATAATCAGAACGAAGATGACGTGTACTTTAACTAATGCTAAGCGCTAAATACATTATGTTTAAGCAACATATATGAAACACAAACTTTCTTTTGATTAAGCAACTAGATTTAAGTATATTTTTTGTGTGTAATTCTTGTAACTAACTCGGTTCTTTTTGTTTTCAGTGTACGATGCCGCCTTGGAAAACTATGTGCTGCATCCGCAGTGCCGCTGTGGTGCCCAGAAGCTGCTCAACGATTCGCCCACACCGGAGGAGCCCACGAATTTGTGCCAGAGCAGCACTGTCGTGGATGCAGCGCCCTCGGCCTCAACGCTGGCACTGCCCAGTTGCGATGATGATGAGCAGGAGAGCATGAAATACCGCATAGATAAGGCTAGCAGCGGCGCCGCGTCTGCGGAGCTCGGCATGCCCGCCTATGATCCGTGCACGCCCAAAATGGACTATGATACGCAGGACGAGCTGCCGGATTCGCCGCACTCGCAGCACCAACAGCAGCAGCTGCAGCAGCAGGTGCCAACGGCGCCCTTGCCCTTGCCGCCGCCACCTACACATATTCCGCATCATCATCAGCACGAGGAGGAGCAGCAGCAGCTGCTGCAGGAGCGTATACAGCACGAGTTTATGCTGCAGCAGCAACATCAGCATCAGCATTTGCAGCAACAACAGCATCTGGCGCTGCTGCAGCAACAGGAGCAGCAGCAGCAACAACAGCAGCAACAACAACAACAGCAGCAACAACAGCAGCAAGGCGTCAGCATGGCCATAGCCACAACGGGCACAAACAACATTCGACGTAAGTTCAACAACAGATATGCAGAAAAGTATGCTATATTGGGAAATCTATCAAAGTCGCAAAGAAAATGAATCATTAAAGCTCTGTTAACTGTAGAATAGAATATGGACAGAAGAAACCATCAATATATGTGCTCTACCCAAGTCCAACTGGGGTGTCCGTCCTCAAATCAGAGACTATAAAAGAGAGTCAGAGATTTCCCCGTCCAATCGAAATCCATAGTCAGAGCTGTGGATATCAAATTTAATTTGTATGACTCATAGAACAGTCGTGCATGTTTTTCTCAGCATTCGACAAAGTATTAATATTAAACTTTCTTTCTCTTTACAGAACGCAAGGAGCGCATGTCGAAACGGCAAAAGGAGCTGTACGTGCACTTTCTGCAGCAGCATCAGTTCATTAACGACCATAGACGAAATGATCCGGTGCTGGATCCGTACTGGCTGAAGCTGGCCAATCTGCTGAATGCTGTGCCGCAGGGCGCCGTCAAGCATGTGACCGAATGGAAGCAGACGTTTGACAATTGGCGGTATCGCATCTTTTTGTATGCGCGCTACAACTCGAAGCTGCAGGATGAGGAGGCGCAGAATCCGCGCAACTTTAAGCCGCTGACACGCACCGATAAACAGGCGTACATTATGTGGATACGCAATCCGGACACTGCGCCGCCGGATCTGGATAAAATGCGCAACGTGTTCTGCAATCTGGAGGAGAATACAACGCATCAGGACTAAAAGCCAGCCGGTCTTAACCGGGCCGGCTGAAACTGAATGCGCTCTCGCTAATTGCCATTGTTCTAGTTCATAAGAGATGGTTTTCTATACGACATACATTTTATTGTTTTCATGTTAACGCTGTGTATTTTATAGCTGGAAATGCATTTTTCCCTTTTTTTCTTTTTGTTATGCTAATATATATAAATATTAATTGAGCGATTTTTAACTTTACATGCAAAAGCTTGGAGTGTGCAGAGCTGGAGAGACAAGTTTTTATCAAAGATCTCAAGGACTTTATCTTACTTTTGCAAGGCTTTTAAGCTTGCTTAAACTTAGCAATATGTTGATTATGTGAGATCATGTTTGTAATAGGTTTCATATATAGTTCCGATTTCATATTCCATCTTCTTTCCAAAGTTGACCCAAACTTTTTATGAAACTTTTTGTTGTCAACTTCTTGAAAGATTAACTTTTTGTTCTTGACCTATCCTAACATTGAAGACTTTTTATCTTATCAGAATCAGACTTCTATATCTTATACATCTATAAGAAAGCTTGGCAAACGAATTATTGTTGGTGTTAAAAATCTGTTTTTATTTTCAAGGAATTCGCATCTTACTCATTTACAGATTCTACTATGCTTTTAACAAATCAACCATATCTTAACAATATCGAAATTCTATATAATATACCTCCAATAATAATATTTGTCCGGAAAGCGAGTTGTTGCTGAAAAACATGAACTGTGTAAATATTTTGTAAATCTGTCATATCAGGCTAGTTTATATTATTTTGAATAGCCCGAAGATACTTTTGCTTTTACTTTTACTTAAGCTTAAAGTCTGGCAAATCTTGAGGTGACAGCCAGGAATCCAATGTTCAAGATCATACAAAGAACCTTCTGGCTTGCGTTTACTTTCAAACTCCTTTCGAGAATTGGCTTAAGCCGGTTATGCAGTGTGTCCCTTCGTTACGGCACCTTGAACTTTAATGGAGTTTTGTTTTCGTTCTGGCTGCACTTGTTGGCCTGCACTGCACTGTGTCTAGAATTTAAAGTTGACAAACTCCTTTCGATATTGCAGCATTGTTGCTTGTGTAAAACATATTGTACTGTGTACTTCCCTATCTGCGATATACAAATCAAGATCTCTAGACACCTACGTGTCTCTCTCTCTCTACGTAGACTTCTTATGCGTTGATTAATTTGCTGCCTGCGGGCGTACAGCATCCAATCTGTGGGTACTTGTCGCACATGCTTGGATTTGCCGCTCCGGCTGCTGCTGTTGCTGCTGTTCGAAACTAATCCGGCGATCATTAATTAACAGTTCAATCAAATCCGATACGCTCAATGCCTGTCGACTGACGACTTTTTGGGCGCTACACAGAACACTCTCGGCTTAACCGACACTTACAAGCATATCAATTTATGCGCTTAAATAACTTAAAACTTCATCTTTTCTAAGCGAGCCGGTTGGCTTTTTGTCAGCATTAGAATTTATTTTCTTTATTGCAAGTTTTTTTTCTTCTTTCTATTAATATATGACTGCAAGAAATTGCATTGAATTGTGCAAAGTGCAACAATATAATATAAATCGTGTTTGGAATAACAGAAAATTTATATATATTAAATGCCACATAAATTAATAACTTAAATGAGCGTAACGGAGTCTGCAAAATGGCTCGTAAACTGCTCCAGCTGTTCGAATAGCACGTCCGTTCTGTCCGACTCTCCGACTGTCCGACTGTCTGTCTCAGTGTCTCTTATCGTCGGCCAATTGCCATTACTAATAAAGATAAATGAATGTGCGCTCATTAAAAATGTGTTCCAAGACATTGAGTTAGGTTATTGGCTGTGAATCGACTATTGATTCGCGGCATGTTCTCCGAGTTACCATCTACTCGATCTGGCTCTGGCTGTCAGGTCATATCTATTCCAGATCTGTAGCATTCAGTCAAGCGTTCAAGATCAATATTCTCAATAGATTTGCATATACACAAACGGCACTCCGTATTGAAAACTGTAGGCCGTGCTAGTTGACAGCCTCCGCTGGGTGGCACTGGACTTATAAGTTATGACAAGTGGGCTTAAACAATGCTAACTGTAGTAGCAATCAATTGATTCATGCATAAAACATGATGTAATTCTATATAGAGCATATAGTTAATGATCTTGCAACTTGCATATGTTATCTCAGTTCTAAGGACAGCCCGCAGGCTAGCCAATGCCAAGGTAAACTCAAGCCTCTCAACATATCTGTCTATTAGGGATATTAACATATATATTTTTATAATAATTATAATGATAATACGAAAATAAAATTAAGATAATTAAGTGTTTTTCATCATTCATCATTATTCTCTAATTCCAACTTAAAATACTATGATAAGCCTCAAATTATGTGGCAGCAGCATTTGACTAAAAATCCTCAACAAATCCCATATTATTTTTGCTGCAATTCTTTGAGCTGCTGTGGCATTAAGATCAGCTGTCTGAAGCCTTGCCCAATCTTAAAATGCTGAAAATAACATAAATTAGCCTGCCTGTCACTTTCGATAGTTTACAAAATTACCATCAGATTATTTCGTCTCGAAGAATTCTCCCACACTCTCTAAGCTGCAAAAAAAAAAAAATCGCCTGCTAGCGGTAGCTGCCACTTGTACGGCCCACAAAATCATCAGATCAATCATAAGCACATGCGAGCAACAACAAAAACTGTGCTGTAAAAAAACGATAAAACGACCATAAATGCGATAGAGATCTTTTGTAAGACCTGTTTTGTCCATGCTGGCCCCACCATAAAATCAACTTGTCAAGCCAAAGCGTTTTAAGCAGACATTTCTGTTGATTTACTATTGGAACAAAAACACATACATATAATTGCAAAAACTTGTGTATGCTAATCGATCGTCCGTCCGATTGATATGGCTTTTTAATTATATTTACATTTTAATTATGGCATCTTAAGTGCCCTGAACCTGAACCACATACACACACAAACCAATATCTGGCTTAATGTTTGCGGTAAGAATCGTTTCCGAATGTTTTTTTTTTTGAATGAGGAAATCCGATTTGAACATAAATCTTGCGAAGCGCATCAAAAGGCATTCAACAATTCTTTTGCAAACTCATAACATTTAATAGAAACACTTTGTACGCAAACAAAAATTGCTCAAATATACAATTTAAATTCGGTTTGCTGTCCGATCAGGCTTGGATGATATCATGCGTTGTACTTAAGATGTGCTAGGAATCGTTTCCAGAGGCGTTGACAATAGGGCAAACTTTTTAATTGGTTAGCCTTCAGTTAATGCGTAAAGTGCTGAAAAGAAATACAGACTATAAGCCTATATATCAAATTTCAATGTCGCGCACGTAACGACAGCTAAGCGGTAGGCCTTTTTTTTTTTGCCAGCCCAAAACGTTTTGGGCCCATAAAGAGGTCAGGGCTATTTAAAGAATGCACGTGTTGACAATACGACAAACATAACTGATCGCAAGCGGAGCATTGGCCAGCCAATTTGGCATCCTGCTTGGCGGGTTCATAAATAAGTTCCTAAATGCAGCCAGCATTAACATATTTAATGTAGAAACTTTGCCAACAGCTGAGTGTATTCTCGTGCTACAAATTGAAATATATTCTTGATTAATTAATACAAAAAACAAGTAAATACGATTTATGTATACGCAGTGCACTGTGCGCTTCCATAAATGCTAATGAGCATAATAATAATAATTAAAAGTACAAATGAAACAAATCGCACGAAAATCCCAGCAATATGTCCAGCCGGAAGCTGCCCTAGCAACATTTTGCACAGGCACATATGGAAAACCCGCTTTGGCAACAATGAAAAACCAAAACAAAAAACCAAAACCAAAAAAAATAGTAATAATAAAGAAAAAACGCAGCCGAACGGGCCGTCGGCAGCGGCTCGTGCTTCGTGTTCGTCTTTGAAACCAGCTGATGAACAGCCGCAGTCGCCGTCGCAGTCGCAGTCGGGAGACCTGAGAAGTGAGACTTTATGCTGATGCTACCACAGTTGCTGCTTTCAGTGTGGCCCGTGTCTCCAATGTGTTTTGTCACGCTTTAAGCGCTGTCCTCGGTACAAAAATACAAAAATAACAGCCCAGCAACAACAACAAACATTCAATAACTCAGCAGCAGCAGCAGCAGCAACAAACACACAACAGCTAAAAATATCAGCAAACGTATGTGCAGTGTCAACTGATGATGCAAATTGCAAAACGAAAAAATAACTATCAAGTCGCATGGTGTTAATTATGACAAACGTACACACACACACACACACACACATGGTGTTGTTCTAACCGAGTGCAGTGCATAAATGTTGTACAATTTGAACAAAAAAGCCAAAAGCAATAAAAATTCCTGGCAACAAAACAAAAGACTTAGGCAACGAACTTGCGTGTAGCAATGCAGCATCGCCTGTGGGCAGACAGGCACAGCTACAGCCACAGCCCAAGCCGCACACAAAAAACAGAAAGAAACACTCAACTGCTGTCAGAGCCGTGTTAAATTTATGCATACAAATAAATCAAAGCCAGCCCGAGCCTGAAAAGGAGGCGTTCTTGTCGCTGTCTTTGTCGCTGTTTCTTGTGGCACGCACAAAGCATTTGTCTAAACGGAAAATCTACAAAAAAAAAAAGAAAAATTGAAACAGCAAAACAAAAAATGTTCAAATAATATTTTTAGTAAATGCTGCAGCTTTAAGGCCACATAAATCAAAATTCGCCAATCTAGGTTCAAAAAAAGGAAGGGAACATTTTAGTTAATTGAAAAAATGAGAGAAAAATATACACAAAACTCATATCATGTGCATAATAACACGAAATTAAACGCCTTTTTTAATAGCTAACAACATTGAAATGGGTTGGTTTTTTTTTAAGGCCTTTAGATGCATAGGCACGCACTCAGATATATTGTGGTTATGCTGTTTATAAGCCGGAAACACTTGCTCACACTTGTGGATAATTGCAGGCACTTAGCTATGAGTACGTTAAAATTATAACTAAGACTTCTTAAGAGCTGGCTAATTTTCATTTATTATTTGTGAATGAATTCAATTTAGAGAGAGAGAGAGAGAGAGAGAGAGAGAGAGAGAGAGAGAGAGAGAGAGAGAGAGAGAGAGATAGAGCGAGAGATAGACCAAACGTGATTATAAAAGGAGTCTATATAAAGAGTTGAACTGGAATGCAAATCTAATCGAATTCTAGTTCTAGTTATTTGTACTTGTTGCAGTGCAGCTGAAAACAAGTTAACACAAATAATTAAAACATCAACTCATCTTAACTAAACTAGTTTCTCGAGCTAAACTAATTAAATATATTTGTATATATATATATATGTAAAGTTCTCAATACCCATTTAAGGTCAACTGCATTTGGCTTACTTTACACCTTAGCCGCACGTCTTAAAGCCAAGACTTTATTAGACCATAAAGTTTTGGCTCAGGGATGTTTCTCAGTCGTATCGAGCGCCCCCTATAAAATCGCATGCGATAATATATGTATGCATTGGTCAGGCCGCAGTTGATACATAGTCACGTTCGGGCTGCAACCATGAGACATACCTATTTACACATGGTCAGCACACAATAATTCTTCTGATTTTTTTTGTTGGACTTTAAAGACTTTTGGAAATTTACGATGCCAAATGACAGAGAGACAGAGACAAAGACTGAGACCGGGACTGAACTTAAAATGCGTGGCATGCGCGCACATTTGGCTGCATTTGCGACACTGAAAGACAAAAAAAAAAAAGAAACTAAATCCAAACCAATTTAAAATTACTCGCACTTTTAAATTTAAAAGCAAGCGCAGAAAAAATTGTCATTTAAATTGTTATTTACGCATGCGCGTCAGATCGCGGCAGCGCAGCAGCGACGACGCCGACGCCGACGCCGCCGCCGACGCGGACGTCGACTGTGAGGCGAACAACAACAACAACAACAACAACAAAATAAATGTTTGACTAGGTCAGTTTGAAAGCATACGAACGGGGGTTTTATTATCAGCTGTCATTTCGGCACAGATCTATTTACGAGTGCCCGCAATTGAGACTGCAAATTGTCAGCGTCACCAATGCAAACAATCGGAGCAATCTGATCAATTCCGACGACGACATTCACTGTGACACTAGGGTCCAGTCCCGTCCAGGGCAGGCGGGCCAAATGCTGATTGCATAAGGAGCGGACGGTTCATTTGATATTGCTTCAAATCTGATTTGATATTTGTCGCATTGAGCGCTCTGCACGCGTCATCGTCATTCAATATGCGAACAATGCCGCGCGTCTACAATTACCGGACGACCAGGCCAGAGACTTGCCGTACCGACTCCAAGTCGAACTCGTAGTCTCTCCCTCTCTCTCTCTCTCTCTCTGTCTCTGTCAATGGAAAATGTTTTCATAACCAACTCTGTCAGCAGCTGTGTGCAGTGCGAAACTCGACTACAAACTAATAACAATCATTATAAACATCTAAAATAGAGGACAGCAGCACAAACAATTACATGTGCATTAGAATGCGACTGTGTGTGTGTGTGTGTGTAAAACTTATAAATTTTTAAATCAAATGCCAAAATAATTGCAACGACAGCGACCCTCAAAAGCGACACGAATGAATTAAAATATTGAGATACACATATGTTCACATTATGCGTACAATCATAACAATTAAATATTAAATAACAAATAAAGAAAAAACAATTCATTTCAAATATTTACAGCTGAACGGCTTGGAAGTTTTAAATTTCATTAAAAGTTTTAAATTACAAAAATGGTGAGTACAGCAATGAATGAATTTATTTATTACCTTAACCTTTTTATTGATAGTCAACAAAAGTGATTAATAATAAAATAAGAAATACTTTGAGTTTGAAATGAAAAGGAAATAATTCAATTACATTGCCTACAAAGAAGCCGAAAGGCATTTTGTTGCTGCTAATCAAAAGTTTATAAATAAAGATCCATATGATTAATGTTCTGGAATGTGCTGCGATCTTTCGACTCATTGACTGCAAGTCCGGTGCAAACTGGATGCCAGCAAATACAAATACACTTAGCAAAAAGACGTGGTGCGAACGGAATTGTATGCATAACGTTTTGTGTCAAAAATTACATGTCAATTTTGTTGTTGACTCTTCTTAAATTAAATGTGAATCATGCTTGAGTTTAAAATTGAGCAAATTAAAAAAACAAAGCTTGGATTAAGTAATAAATACTTATTTAACGATTTTGCATGCCTGAAAATAGCCTTGGAAATTTTTTCTCATTTCTCAGTTTGAGTTCCAAGCCTCAATCTTGTATTTTGATTATAAGAGAAAGATTTTCTATGCCTGAAATGGGCCGAAACGTCCTTCGTCATTTCTCAGATTAAGTTCTCACTCTTGTAATTGGAATATTTAGGAATTAGAATAAATATTGTATTGTCAAACTTTGTACTTGATTTGAGAGCAAATTTTGTGGTTTTTTTTTTGTTGTTTTTTTGAGTACAGCACATATGTGTATATTTTGTAAGCACACATATAAAACAAACAATTTCTCACACTTTTATTCGAAATTATAATATTTATTAAGCTGCACAGCCGCACGATCTGATTTAATCAGCAAACGTAGCCACAAAAAAAAAAGGCGCACACACACGTCTCGACTGTAAATCATGATGAGAAGGCAGCCACGAATCAGATTTAACAATGCCTTAGAATACGAGAATAGCCATAAACTTGGGATGAGTTGCGGCGACGACATATTTACGCAATTTAATTAACATCAAATCTGAGCTGTACTTAGCTTATTAGAAGCGAACTTAGCGCAGGCTTTGGTTAATTGTTTTTCGAAATTTGTTTTCATATTGTTTTGTTTTTCGCTCGCACAAAAAAAAAAACAATTGACAAAAGGCAATGACCTACAATTGTTTTGCTGTTGTTGTTGTTGTTGTTGTGGCTATTGTTTGTAATATTCTTGTGTCTAGATATTGTATTTACCGTTGTTTGTCAGAAGCTTCTGCCGATTTATTGACAGCTCACACAGCTTTCGTGCATGTCGCTGGGTTTGTGTCTCAAGTCTTTTGTTTTGCGCCTTTTGCAGATGCGCACCGGAAACGTGTTTTGTGTGCTCTTGGTGAAATCAGCGTCATTAATTGACAATATGTACAAAAACAAATACATAGCCATATTTGTGCAACATCATTTAAGTAATTAACGTTTCGGCTTTTGTATGTTATTTTTTCTTATGATATTGTATGCTGATTTTTTTTTTGTTTTTTTGGCAATTTATATAATGAAACTTGCAATGAAATACGAAAATAACTTCCTCAAATAATCTCATTAGATTAAGTAAGCTGTTAGTTAATCTGTCATGATTTTGAAATGGAATTTAATTGATGATACGCTTCGCACTCTTATCTAAATGCCATTAAACATTTTGTTGCCGCATTGGAAACAATTTGTCAGTCAATTAAATGATGGGAAATGAAAAACAATACCCATTATCATTAACATTTTCATTGTTATGCGTATTCCTCTAGGGCCTCTAATGTGATGTGATTATTAATTTTTATGATATGAAATGCTTCGATTTTGAGAGACATCTTGTTTGGGCTGCAATTCAAATAGTGTGCATATCAAATTATACAAATTGTTAAGTGAATCGTTTACAAATCCGCTTAAAATGCATATTTTATGCAAACGCAAATTATGCAAATTATCAGCTCGGCTTGTTTGTTTTGCTGTGACCCACAGCTGGAATCAATAGTACACTCAAGAAATCAAATGCAGCATTTGAATGGGCGGCCAATTTGGTTGGCCGGTAACGGTAGCACATTGACCTCTTGGCCAGCAGGGCAGAGCTGCAGCAAACTACACTGCGCTACACAAACGCTGCACTGGGCCCATTGTTATATAGTATGAAGTATGGAGCCGAAAGCAGTTCGATTTATTTATTTATTTTTACATTTTCACAACACAAATTCCAGACAGACGTCGAAAAGTTCAAACAGCTAAGTGCCTGACAGGCATTAACTTTTAGGTCTGTAACCGTTGATTAGCAGTTGTTTTGCTTGTTGTTGTTGTTGTTGCAGTTGCGTTGCAGATTTATGATTAGCGCCCAGTTAGCCTCTGAGCCACAGCAATAGCCACAGCAACAAAAGACGCAGCGAGTGCCCTACTCAAAATGCAAGTTATTATGTTTTGAAGGTTTTTCTTTTTTGTGATTTTTTTTTTTTTGCGAAACAACGGTTACGCCCCCAAATGCCACAAATTCAATGAGCCGTGCTGATATCAAGCTGACCAATCAGACCTGCAGCCGCATTAAACAGCAAACGAAATGTTGAAATTTATTTTATATTATTGCCCGATGATGCTGGTTGGAATCTTGAGTCGCTTAACAGAAGACTTAAGCTTAATTGCTTTTAATTAATTTTTGACACGGCAATTGCATGTTTCAAGAAATCATCATAGAGGTCAAGCTTACACACAACTGGCCACATACATGCACACATAAAGAACTAGTCACACCTGAAGCAGCAGCAGCAGCAGCAGCAGCGGCAACAGCAGGCATTGAGCTGTCTGTGTATTCCATGGATATTTGCCATTTCATTAACCCCATTGCGCGGGCTTGCCAAAAAAAAAATGTATTTATTTATTTTGCCAACGTAATTGAAATCAACATGATGTCTATTTATTTATTAGCTTATTTTTATTTTTTTTTTTTTGCATTATTTTTGTTTAAATTTCGCTTATTATTATTTTTTTTGGCTGATTGACTCCCACGTATCGAGCTTGGGTTTGACTTTTGGCATCGCAAATCATTTTTGGGCATCACAAATTTGTTGTTGTTGCTTTTCTCAAATATTTATAAATTGTATTTAGTATTCTTTTGTTAGGCGAATACGCAGCTGTGCCTGGGAACATGCTGGCAATTAATCAAGCTATTCGCTGAAGAATTTAAATTGTTTGATTTGTCTGGTCTGGCCTGGAAGGCGGGCAACATTGTTGAATAAAGTGAAATTCGCTGACTTTTTTGCCATATCCACTGAAAAGATGAGTTGGCTGAAAACATTATTTTTAGTCAGACATTCTAAATTTAGTTTTTAGAAAGCTCAATATCCCTCGACAGCTGGTACATTCACTAAACGCGACCAAATCCAAATTCACGCCAATCAACTATCATAAGTCAAGCATCTTCTGTAGTGTGCAATGCACGACATCGACACCATCAGCATCGTCGTCGTCATCTTCATAATTTGTGATCCACTAAAACACTAAAATACTTCAAATACCAACAACAATTGTACATAGGCAACAACATTCAAAAACGTGTGCGCTCAAATGCCTCACAAGGTTGTTTTGTCGGCGCGAGAGGCAAGAGACTTGTTGTATTATATGGTTAATAGCTCGGGCTGGCCAAAAGCTGACGAGGAAGCCGCCACCGAATGGAACTGTGTGTTGTACAATGCGAGCAATGCAGCGAATCGAAACCCAAGCCAAAATCTAAAAATGTTGAAGTGCTCTAGGCGATAGTTAGAGACTCGAAGATATCCTGTACCATAAAATATATTGGAATTTATTGTTTTTTTTCTTTTTTATATGCAGTATACAAAGTATTGGCACGGTGGGTTAGCTGATGTTTACGGCTTGGATGGAAGATAGAAAACTAAGCTAGCCTTTCTTAGCTTTATGTTTTCTCTGCCTCCTCCATTTGAAAAATGCAACGTTAGATAACTTCTTTAATTATGGTCCGATAATTTCGATAATTTTCACGGCTTAAATATGGCATCAAAATGTTTGCATTGACAAAGATTCTTTCCTATGTTTTTAATTAAGATTGGGATGGGAACATAGTAGCGTGGCAAAATTGAAAATATTCGCGATCTATACAAGAACCTTCATCCCAAATTGTTACATCTACCTTATAATTATAAATAAACCCAAAATATGGAGAAAACCTTGAGTATAATATAATATACATTTTAAATTAAATTTTATTTTTGGTTACTTAGTCTTAAATCTTAAAGAGATAAGAGCAAATTGTTTATGCAGAAGACAGATAGACAGACTTGACTATATCAGGCTTCTTCTGCATCTCAACTAACATACATTTGCACAAAATGATTAAACCCCTTTCTGGGCATTTTCAATAGCTAGGGTATAAGAAACCGATCAATGACTAAGCCCATAGGCGATCTAATGCCAAATAGTTTGAACAAATGTTTCAGCTGTTAAAACGTGAAACAAGTTTTCGTTTTTCTTTGTTTTTTTTTTCTCTCGATTTTTCTTCTTTTAAATTGGCCAACATTAAGCTGTGACAAACGAGCGCAACCGCGGAAAATGTAACTAACTGCCAAAAACTACGGCAGCTATCAAAAAAAATAGTTTGGTGTTAAAAAGCCATGTCAAAATTTAACGCCAGCTTTGACGGACAGACGGACGGGCGGGCGGACAGACGGAGCTGTGGGGGCGATGTGTCATGTTGTTGTTTGTTTGTTGATTTGTTCTGGCCACAAGGTCGTTGGAGCACGCTGCGCTAATTGATGGATGAATTGAATGCAGTGAGCGACAATTTGCCCAGCCTTGAACTTCTCCACTGACTGGAGGATGACGACCAGCAAGAAGAAGAAGCAGAGGAGAAGAAGCAGTCAGCAGTTGGTGCAGCCAAGACTTTCAACTGTCTGAGTGGGGGGGCTAGGCCAGGTCAATGGTTAGCCATGATAGTCAGTGTGTATTTGTTGTCGTTGTCGTGGTTGTTGTTGTATTTTATATGCAAATTAGCCACATTAACCGC